TGTGGTAGCACAATATCTCCCAAACAGTCGGATATCTATCCACTACCCCATCTGTGGACAACCTCTTCTTCTCAAGTATAGTCTGCATACCAGCATCCTTTCAACGATTCATCGACCGAGAAGGATTCACCAAAATAGAAGGTACATGTGGAGCTTGTGATGCATGTGGTGCCTGTTATAGTGCCAATGGAACATTCACTACTTCATAGCACAGCACTGAACGCTTCCTCTTTGTCAACTCATATTCCCGAACCGGTGTATTTGGAGTCCCAGACCCCTCAACCTCTTCATTCTTAGATCCAGAGGAGGTGAACCGGATGGAATCGATGTCCACACTATCATCCGAGCTTGTGTACTGCTGCTAGTTATCATTACCACTCACTTGTGGAGGTTTACAACGAGTGGTTTGGGGAGTTTCAACTTCTGCTGCAATCACAACCTCCTTTGCTTTCTTTCGGGGTAGTGGACCCTGTGGTTTTGCCTGCCTCTGAGATAGAGGGTAGTCCATATCGATCACACACTGAGCGGGAACCTTAGGTTTGGAAATACCTGTAAAAGCACACAAATGAGAACAAAATTTGTTGCAAAAGGTTAATGAAACAAGATTCTCGAGGCAAAATGTAGGAAAACTCACAAAAGTAGTTCGGTGAGCAAAAGAGGCCTCGCTAAATGTTACAAATAGTCCTAGCAAAAAATCAGGTAAAAAGGGGTGATCTCAAGACCATTCGGCGAGCTGAAGGGTCATCGCCAAATGTTACAGAAATTTCCAGCAAAATTTTTGGTCAAATAGGCTAAATCTAGGCCATTCTGTGACTCGCCGAATTCACTTCGGCAAGCTGAAGGATCATCGCCAAAAGAGACAATAACTCCTCTTCATAAGTCTGGAAGTTAGGCGATGGGGAGAACATTTGGCGACACGCCGAATCAACTCAGCGAGCTCGATGAAGCTCACCGAAATGTCCCAACGCCTCACCTCCTTAATCTTTTTCTCTATTCACAACCAACATCCTTAGACACACAAATTCCAGCACAATTTCAAACAATTTATAACTACCCAAGAAGAATTCACAAGTCGGGGTATTCAGACTACCCCCAATTAACGCTAATTTAACCAAACAATGATTTTGCCCTTAAGAACGACGTCACCCAATCCATCATCGAGAAAATTCAACTCATTTGATCAAATTTGGGTTACTTAGACTTCACCCACACACTACTTAATATGCAACACTCCCAATTTCAACATCTACCATGAGAAACTTAAACAAATTGGCCCAAATGGTTGATTTAAACTACTCGATTTCAAATTAATATTATACTAATCAACAGATATATAATTAAGGCATAAAATTCAATCAATAGCCGCTATATTTCGTAGGATCAAGTGGAATTTGAGAAACCAACCTCAATGAGAGACAAACACACAAAAGTGGCAAAGGGAAACGATATGAGAATCACGATGATACTTCAGATGAAAATCTCACACGAGGATAATCACGACATTTAAACGAAATTATAGCCTAAAGATTGATTTAATGAGTAGAGGAGTTCAAAATTTCAAATAAATAGAAAATTTGAATTTAAAAGGGCAAAGACTTTTCAATGCGCGTGTCATTCGGCGAGTAGAACTAACGTCGCCGAATGAATCGACAATCTGCCTAATGGGCCACAACCTATCGAAATTGACAGTGTTTTCAACCATTAGTGAGTGCAGTTCGACGAGCTCAATTGGTTTCAGCGATCTAACTCGGTGACTCGCTGAATGAATTGTATGCTTGCCCAAACTTCCAGAACCTTCTTCATTTTTTACCTTCATAGGGTGATGCATTTGGGTGATGATAGGGGCAATTGGGCGACCCGCTCAGTGTTCCATCCCCTCGCCCATTTGCATTTCTTCCAAAACACCAACTCCAACCTAAACAATAACCAACAAACGTTATTGAGATAGCAAAAAGTAAAGCTTGGGTTGCCTCCCAAGAAGCGCCTAAGTTAATATCGTGGAACGATGTGGATATGCATTCAAGCATCATCCAAATACACCACATCAATCTTAGTCACATTGGGGCGTTCTCCAAAGTAAAGCTTCAACCTTTGCCCGTTCACCTCGAACATCGATCCATCCTCGCTTTCAACTTCTATTGCCCCGTTTGTAAACACACGATTTACTTTGAATGGACCTGACCATTTTTACTTATGTTTTCTCGTAAAGAGTCTCAAACGAGAGTTGTGGAGCAACACAAGATCACCAACTTTGAACTCTCGATGAACGATTTTTGCATCATACCATTTCTTCATTTTCTCCTTGTAAAGGCCTGAGCTCTCATAAGCCCGAAACCGAAACTCTTCAAAATCATGGAGTTGGTCAACTGGATCCTTCAATGCATCCTCCAAATTCAAGTTCATGACCTTCAAGGCCCACAACACCTTATGCTCAAGTTCAATCGGTAGATGACAAGATTTACCAAACACCAATTGATACGGGGACATAGCAATCAGGGTCTTGAATGCAGTTTCATATGCCCAAAGAGTATCATCTAACTTCCGAGACCAATCAGTTCAATTTGCATTAATGGTTTTGGCCAGAATCCGTTTGATTTCCCAGTTGGACACCTCGACTTGTCCACTTGTTTACGGATGATAAGGGGTGACAACCTTGTGCTTGACTCCATACTTTCTCAAATATGAGGCAAACATTCGGTTACAGAAATGAGAGCCCCTATCACTAATGATTGCACGTGGAGTGCCAAATCTCGTGAAAATGTACAGCTTGAGGAATTAAACCACACTTCTACCTTCATTATTGCGTAAGGCCACCGCCTCTACCCATTTAGAGACATAATCAATGGCTACCAAGATATATTTGTTCCTATAAGAACTCACAAAAGGCCCCATGAAATCAATTCCCCATACATCAAACAATTCAACCTATAATATAGGAGTGAGAGGTAATTCATGCCTTCGCGACACACCTCTTTGCTTTGTACATTGCACACACTTCTTAACAAGAGAGTTTGCATCCTGATACATCGTTGGCCAATAATAACCAGTTTGTAGTACCTTAGCAGTTGTACACACTCCACAATGGTGCCCACCAACCGGTGACACATGACAAGTGTCAAGAATAACACCTACCTAAAATTCCGGAGTACATCTTCTGATCATGTAATCAGGTCACTCCCGAAATAGGCAAGGTTCATCCAAAAAATACATTTTTGCATAAAAAAGGAACCTCTTTCGTTTGTAAAAATTCATCCCATCGGTAAGAATGCCACACAACACATAATTGACAAAATTAGCATACGAAGGCGGTGTACCATTCGACACAACCATCACCGACTCATCGAGAAAGGCTTCCTCAATATCTATTTCACCGGAAATAACCACATTCGTTTCAAGCCTCGACAAGTGGCTCGCCACTTGGTTCTCACACCCTTTCCAGTCTTTGACTTCACAATCAAACTCTTGTAAGAATAACACCCATTAGATCAACCTTGGCTTTGCATCTTTTTTAGCCATCAAGTAACGTATAACAGCATGGTCAGTGTGTACCACCACCTTGGTCCCCAAAAGATAAGCTCAAAACAATTCAAAAGCATACACCACATCTAGCAACTCTTTCTCAGTGACAATGTAGTTCTTTTGAGCTACATTCAAGGTCTTGCTTGCATAGTAGACCGGGTGGAACAAATTTTCCTTTCGTTGGCCAAGTACAGCCCCCAAAGCCACACCGCTTGCATCGCACATTAGCTCAAATGGAATACTCCAATTCAGAGCAACAATGATAGGAGTCGAAGCAAGCTTCTCTTTTAAACATAAAATTGCCTTGACACAATCTTCATCAAACTCAAAGACACTTTCCTTTTCACGTAGCTTGCAAAGAGAATGAGCCACTTTAGAGAAATCTTTTATGAACCTCCGGTAGAAACCCACACGGCCCAAGAAGCTTCTAACTCCTTTAACAGAAATAGGAGGAGGCAACTTGGTGATAACTTCAACTTTAGCTTGATCAACTTGTATTCCATCTCTTGAGATTTTGTGCCCCAACACAATATCTTCGTTGATCATGAAATGACATTTCTCCTAAATGATAACAAGGTTTGTTTCGACACATCTTTGCAAGAATGTACCAAGGTGCTGAAGGCACGCTTCAAATGTATCTCCCACAACTGAAAAGTCATCCATGAAGACTACCATCGAATCCTCCACCATATCAGCAAAAATAGAGAGCATACACCTTTGAAACAATCCCGATGCATTACATAATCCGAAGGGAATTCTTTTGAAAGGAAACATCCCATAGGGACATGTGAAGGTTGTCTTTTCTTTATCTTTCGGTGTAATGGAGATTTGATTATAACCAGAGTAACCATCCAAGAAGTAATACTATCCACGACCCATAAGTCTATCAAACATTTGATCCATAAAGGGCATCAAAAAAATGATCCTTCTCAGTCCACACATTCAACTTTTGATAGTACATACATACACGTCAATTGGTGACGGGTCCCATTGGTACAAACTCCCTTTTTTCATTAGGGACCACAGTCATATCACCTTTCTTTGGAACACATAGAACAGGAATAACCCACTTGCTATCCGCAATAGGGTAGACAACTCCCACATCAAGACACTTAATAATCTCTTTCTTGATAAATTCTTGCATTTGGTGATTCAACCGCCTTTAAAGTTCAATACTTGGCTTACAATCACTCTCCAATTGAATCTTGTGGATACAAATACCAGGAGGAATTCCCACAATGTTGGCAATAGTCCACCTAATAGCCCTGATAAATCTTTTAAACACACTATCAAGCGCTTGCGCTTGCCATTCATGAAAATTTGCCGCAATTATCACAGGTAAAGTGTTATTGGCTCCCAAGAATACATAACGAAGGTGAGGTGGAATTACCTTCAATTCAAGATTTGGTGGTTCTTCAATAGATGGCTTTGCGGAAGGACTTTCCATGTTTTTCAAATCGATATCAAGTTTCACGGGGCACTTAGAATAAAAATCTAAACCCAATAGAGCAGACACTATCTCTATCATAATCTTGAATTGCCTCCCAATCATAATATAAAAGGACGGCAACCAAAGACTCACCAACACAAGAAAATTCATACGCACTTGCAACCGCTTTTTCAATCACATCAATGACCGATATCACATGGAGGTCACTTGGTTGCTTCATTGATTTACAAATATTGGATGTAACTTCCTCACCATTTACCTGAAAATTCAATTCACCAGTTTCCACATCAACAAGAGATTTTCCAGTAGCCAAGAACGGCCTACCAAGAATAATAGGGACCTCGGCATCAATCGCGCAATCGAGGATCACAAAATCAGTTGGAATTATAAATTTTTCTACCTTCACCAAAATGTCATAAAGGATATCAGTAGGGCACTTGATAGAGAGGTCGGTCATGAGAAGACGCTTAGTGGTAGGTTTAGGCTCACCTAGCCCAAGTTGCTTGAAAATGGCATAGGGCATCAAGTTTATACTTAACCCCAAATCACACAATGCTTTAGCGAATTGAAACATCTCTATAGTGCAAGGGATAGTAAATTTCTCCGGGTCATCCTTATTGACAACCATGTTGCTCGACAAAATGGCACTACAACTATGGAATGCCTCAATCGTTTCGAAATCCATACTCCTCTTCTTAGTAACCAAATATTTCACAAACTTTGCATAACCCAAAATTTCTAACAATGCCTCCAGCAAAGGAAGATTAATGGAAAGAGTTTTGAAGACGAAAAGAAACTTTTGGAACTTCACATCTTCATCCCTCTTCTTCAATCTTTGAGGGAATGGTGGAGTAACTTTGGGCAGCCACTTTGTAGGTACCGAGGGAGGCATAACTTCCACATTTTACTTCATAGCATCACTGGAAACACCATTTTTTGTGCATCATCAATCTCATTGGAAGCTTCATTGTTCAATTCTTCACCAAGTACATCACTTTCAAAAATAATATCTTCCCATTGCTTGAGATTCCATTCACATCATTTGGCACATCACTTCCCACAACTTTACCATTCAGAGTCAAAATAGCCATGCATTGCTCATTATCATTCTTTGGATTGGCTATGGTATCACTAGGAAGAGTCCTTTGTTTCCTCGAATTCAAGTGAGCAGAAATTTGTCCCATTTGAGCCTCAAGTTATTTTATAAAAACCGAATGAGAGGTCACCGTTTGATTCAAAGAAGAGAAATCAACCTCCATCTCCTTAAGCACTTTATCAGACCCTTCTACCTTGTTAAGGATGCGGGCAAGCATATCCTTAGTCCGAAAACTTTTGGGGTCGGCATTTGGTTCCTTAGGTTTCAGAAGGTCATGAGGAGGCACATAACGATCTCTATCACCATCTCTTTCTCTCAAATTTGCACCCCTATCACGCCAATCTCATTCCTTATCTCTCCAACCACCATCATGATCTTTGATCCAACATTGATTTCCGCCCGGCCTTGGATAGCTCAGATGAGAACCCCCCACTTCATTCGACAAGAATTGTACCTCTTCATTATACATGGCGTCAAATTGTGCATTATCCAAGCTCATCCCACTACTAGCACCAACCGTATTCACGGCCTTATAACCACCTCCCATGACATTTTTCTTCAACAAGTCCATTTGGGTCATCATCTTGGCCATGTTTTCATCACGCTCTTGGTTCTTTTCCATTTGTTCTTTGGTCAACCCTACATTGAGAGGAGAGACATGATCCTCCCTTGTATGCCATGCTCAATTAATCTTGGTCATCTCATCAAGGAAAGTCGACGCTACGATAAATGGTTGTCTCATGATTCCACCTCGAATAAGTTGATCGGCGATACCATTGTTGACGATATCAAGACTCCAGTAGAAATATTGTAAAAGTGTTTTATCTCCCAGCCCATGAGTAGGACATTGGAGGAATATCTTTCGAAACCTCAACCAAGTTTCATGAATGTATTCACCATCAATCCGCTTGAAATTTTGAATGTTGTCCATCAACTTCAACATCCTCGAAGGAGGAAAGAATCTTTCATAAAACACCTCTGTGAGTTCCTTCCAAGAAGTAATACAGTCCCTTGGTAATTTGGCCAACCACTTTGTTGCTTCCTCCACTAGAGAAAAGGGAAATAAACGGAGTCAGATTGACTCTTGAGAGATATTCTTGAAGGAGATGGTCCACACACATCAGCAAAGTTCGGAATGTGATAATGAGGGTCCTCATGAGCAAGTCCCCCAAAGAAACCTTTCATTTGCAGCAACTGAAGCATAGTTCCGGGCACATGAAAAATTGCATTGCCCACAGTTGGGGGAAAACGAATAGCACTGGAACTTCCCATTTGATTCGCATTGACATCGTTCAAGTTTCTAATGTCATCATTGTTCCCCAATTGACTAGCAACATTGATCCCATTAACACTCATTTCTTCACCTATTGAGAGCAAACAACAAAAACACTAATAAGATAGTTCTACTACAACCAAATTAGTTCCTAAAAACACTTCAATAAACGTTGCAAATTTTGGTAACGCTCAACTACACCTCTTATAATTCAAAGTGTAGGTGGTTGCTAACAAGGATAAACCCAAGGATGAGTTGGGGTTGATCCCACGAGGAATGGTAAGGAAGAAAATTCGAATACGAAGTATGAAAGTGCTCTTACTTCTTGTAGAATGGAAATAAATAACACGTAACATTATGTAAATCTATAAGTTCCAATTATCAATATCAAGAGAATTTGGTAACCAATTGTTAACAAAAACAAATAGCGCGAGTTTGAACAAGTAGAAAGAGGACGTTAGGAGTGTGTGCGCAATCGAATACCAAAGAGGTGTTCCATCAAGATGTCACAATCTTCAATGTTCAATGTAAAAAATAAGACTAAAATCCCAAAACCGAGTATCTTGGCCCAAAATTTCTCCAAGAATATTTAGTATTGTAAGAAATATGTAAAATCTGTCAAAATTCTATGTAAGTCCCCCTTCTCTTCCTTCATAAATCAATTTATATGTTTCCAAAAAGCAATTCACTACGCAGCCAAATCTGTGAGGTTAGTTGTGATCGCCGAGTGACCCGGTGATCTGCCGATGAGCTCGCTTCATTTCCAATCAACTTCTTCAGCTTTTGAATTCTTGACTTCTCAATTGGCGAATCTGATGGATTTCGCATTTTGGCTTCGGTGATTTGCCGTTTGGTCCTTTTCTCGTTGATTGGACTTGACTTCTTCAGTTGTTCTGTTTTTCAGGTGAGCTGGATCGAGCTCGCTGTTCTATTCAGGGCATCGCCGAATATTACTTTGGTTCGCCGAGTTGGCTTAGTTCATGAGACAATTCGCTGGATCTTTTGATGAGCTAGAATCTCACTCGGCGAGTCGTTGAGTGACTTTTGCGAGCACCAGCCTTAATTTTCTTCAGCTTTCCAACTTTTCCGCTTCTTTTCGCAATGTAATGTCCTTGCCTTGTTCTTAAGCCTTCATGGCTTCTCAGAAATAATTTAACATCAGTTATGAATACAAAATAGGCATCAGAGCTATGGATAACGAGAAACTAAGGAAGAAACATACTAGTAGAAAGTTAAGAAAAATAAAAAGAAAATTAAAGAAATTATATCCGGAATATAAAAAACTCAATATCACAAAAACTGATAACGACAAATTAGATCAATTAATAGATAGTGTATCTAAAATAGAATATAAATATATTCAATAATAAAAGAAACAATGAAAAACGAGA